TTTTTTTTTTTTTTTTTTTTTTTTTTTTTTGGATCACCATTCAGAGTCTGAAATCATGACCTTGTAAATTTTTACTTGTGTATGGGTTGATCTGTCCTCCCTACTGTGGAAACTCCAAGAGGGCAGGGCCTGCGTTCTGTCACTGCCTCAGTCGTACCTAGAACACAGTGCTGGGGACAAAGTTAGGGGCTCAATAAATACTCAAGAAGGCTTCCTGCAGGAGGTGGCATCTGTGAGCATCTGGAGAAAGAGTGGCTCCAGGCAGAGGCAGCAGTAAGACAGGGCCTAGAGGCAGACCTACTTTGGCATGGGTGTCCTGGGTGACCAAGGGCAAAGAGGAAGGTAGGATAGTAGGGAGGAGGTGCAAGAAGCTGGGGTGGTTTTTTTTTTTTTTTTCTTCTTCTTCTTCTTTCTTTTTTCTTATCTCCCTCCCCTTCTCTTCATTCCCCTTCCCTGGAGCTTTCATTCTATGTGTGATTTGGGTAGAGGAGTTGCATTTATGATTTGCCTTTTGGAAAGACCAGTCTGGTGGGAGTGTGTACAGTGGATAGTGGGGGTCAGTTAGGAAGGAGTGGAGTTCTATGGAGCCAGGACTCACACCTAAGTGACATCTTGTCTCGTGGCACTGTGCCTGGCACAGAAGAGGGAACCATTCTGTCCCTGGGTATTAATCAAATAAAGTTCCTTGAAGACCTTAACCCAGCGCTCACAGCTCACAGGGAAACAGAAATGTTTCCCCAGCCGTACATCTACGTCATCTTCGTGCCCTCAGCCACTGCCCCACTAGCATTGGTGCAGATAATTAGAGTGGCCTCCTCGCAAGGTCACTCCCCTCTGGGTGGTCCACATTCCAATAACCCTCACACCCATCTCTGCACCAATGGAGACAATGCTGATGGATTGTTTTGGTCCCAGGACTCCCTGTGGAGACGATTGAAGCCCTCCCTAGGACCTGCCTTCTGCTCAAGGTCTTTCCCCGTCTCTGGCCTAGCGGTGAACCCTAAGGGAACTCCCCAATTAACCTCCTGAACACTAGGTTCTCCACCAGGGCCCAGGACAAGCGTGTCCTTTCAACAGAAGGTACCCTGCGATAATTACTGGATTTATTTATTCTTTTCATTCTAAGAGTCTGGGGGGAAGTAGAGACCGTACTGGGAACATTGAAGGGACTTTGTCTCCAGGGATGAGTAACTGGAGGTTAATCCGTGCAGTGGGGATGAAGGAAGGGTCTCCAGTTCCAAGGTCCAGAAGAAGGGAATGGAACAGGAAAGGAAACTGATGATAAGGGCTCAGACCTGGGTTTACCACTCAGCTCTAGCAGAATGCGTGACCCTGTGCAGGAAGATCCATGCTGCTTCTGTTTCTCTCCCCTCTCCCAACTGGCCTGGCCCATGACTTGCTTTGACCTAGAATGCCGCAGAAGACTCTTCCAGACTCAGTCCAGCCCCTAAGATGCCAGGAAGCTTCTCTTGGCTGGCGGGAGCTCGGAACCACCACATGGAGTTCCAATGTCCCGTCCCGTTGGGGATGGATACCCGGCCAGCCTCCTATCCCTATGCAACCCCCCAGCAAAGTCAGTCTGCGGTGTTCCAAGGGCTCATTCCAACACACCTATGAAATCGACCCAAGGCCTTCCCAAATGCAGCCTGGAGAGCAAATACATGACTGTGACTTTAACGCACCAAAGTGCCGGATGGTTGGTTCTATACGGCGAAATGGTATAGTACTGACCCCTCTGAACCACTGGTAAAATGAAGGGGAGGATGCCGAATATCATGGTAGTGATGAAGCCCTCAGCTCTTATTATCCAGGTAGGACTCTCCCTGCATATTTCGCATGACTGCCCGCCTTCTTTTCGGTTTTTACACCTGAGGGTAGAGTTTGGTGAAGCCTGCAGAGACAGCATTTGAGTCCTGCTGTGGGAATAATGATGGGTATTCCTGCCTGAGATTATTCAGTGTTTGGGTACAATTAGGCCTAGTCTGACCCTGAGTTTTCCCTTAGGTGAAGAGAAGACAGACCTGCAGAAGGTGGCCCACCAGTTCCTCTCTCTGTTTTGTGAAGGCCCCACCCATTTACTTATGGTAGGAATGTTGGCTCTTCCTTGATGCCAAGCACGTCCAGTTTGCTATAATCTGCCTGAGTCTGAGAAATGGGCACAGGTGAGGAAGCTGAGGCTCGGGAGGCTGAGAGCCACGGCTGGCGTTTGAGGCCATGCCTGTAGATTCAGGGCCAGTGCTCTCTGGCTACCATCCATTCCTGTCCTAAGGCCTTTCTTCCTTTCCTCACCCGCCTGGCAAACTTGTGATCAGATGTGTGACCGAAACCAAGGATCCGCCAGCCTGGGCCCCTCTGAAGGAAGCACAAGGTTCCTGTGGAGTCCGAAGGGGCCCCTCTCTAGACAGCTCAGTGGGAACTCCCAGCAGCATTTGAAGATCACCATGAAGATGATGACACTTCCTGGAGTTGTTGGGAGGACAAAGGGCATACAGAGCACATACCCATGCTCACCCAAGCCCTCTCCAGAGCACCCTTCAGACTATGAGTTGCGCATCACCAATCTCATTTCTTCTCATTTCTCTGTGTGTTTTTTTTTTAAGAGAGAGAGAGAGAGAGAAGAGAGAGAAAAATTTTAATATTTATTTTTTAGTTTTCGGCGGACACAACATCTTTGTTTGTATGTGGTGCTGAGGATCCAACCCTTGCCGCACGCATGCCAGGTGAGCATGCTGCTACCGCTTGAGCCACATCCCCAGCCCTCTCTGTGTGTTTATGCTGGGGATAGAACCCAGGATCTTGAGCATGCTAGTTAAGCACCCTACCGCTAAGCCATAGCCCTTTTTATTTTGAGACAGGATCTTCTTAAGTTGCTGAGGCTGACCTCTAACTTATTTATGTTTCTCCGGCCTCAGCCTCCTGAGTAGCTGGGATTTCAGGTTGTGTATCATGGCCCCGCTAATTATTTCTTGAGTGTTCATCAAAAACCTTAATGTAATGGTTACAATAACATTCTGCTGCAAGTAACAGAAGCCCCTGGATAAAAATGTCTTAAACAACATAGAGACTTATTTCCCCTCTCAAGTTCTAGCAATCTAGAGTTAACACTGCCCAATATGGTATTCGCTTGCCGCAGACGGCCATTGTGCCACTTGAAATATGACTGATCTCAATCAAGATGTGCTGGAGGGGCTGGGGTTTTGGCTCAGCGGTAGAGCACTCACTCTCAGCACCACATATAAATAAATGAAATAAAGGTAGTGTGTCCAGCTAAAAAAATAAACAAACGTCTAAAAAAAAAAATGATGTGCTAGAAATGTAAAATATGCACCAAGATCAAAGACCTTACCTAAAAAAAAAAAAAGCGGGCTGGGGTTGTGGCTCAGTGGTTCAGTGCTTGCCTGGCCTGTGTGAGGCACTGGGTTCAATTCTCAGCATCACATATAAATAAATAAATTAAATAAAGGCTCATTGACTATATATATTATATATACATATATTGCACAATATGACCTATCAATCATTTTTATCCTGCTCATATGATGAATGTTCAATTTTTTTTAATATATGGGCTAAATATATTATGGAAATTAATTTCATCTGACTAGCTTTACTTAAAAGATATATGTGGCTTGCTTTTATAGCTTACACTTTAATCTTACTGGATGGAACTGGCTAAAGGATCAACTGTCAACCAAAGATGACTTTGCCCCCTACCCTCAGGAGAAGTTTTTGTTGTCACAACTTTGGGGTGGGTAGGATGTACAGACTAGGAAAGTTGCTGAGCACCCCGACAAGGCACAGGACACTCCCAACAGCGAAGGATCCTCCAACATAAGCTGTCAGGAGGGCTGAGAAGCACTGGTCTAGAGGTAATCAGTCCATGCTGGTTCTTTGCTCCATATAGGATACCATTTACAAGGTATGGACACAGTGGCTGCTGGGGCGCAGAGGTTCTGACAGCATTCCCACCAGCCACAAAGGAGCAGGGCAGGATAAAGGCGCACCTTCTCTCTCTTCCAAGAAGATCTACAGACCGCTTCTGTTTAGTTCCCATGGATTTGAATGTAGTCCCCTTGATACATGGGAGGCTGGGACTTTGTATTTTTAAAAGTCGGGGGGCTTCTTACTGAGGAAGACAGGAGAGTGGATCCAAGGGGAAGAGCACCTGGCAACTGTGTCAGAAGCAACCGTGGGGGAAGGTTATTCTCATGTTACAGATGAAGAAACTGAGGCACAAGAGGAGTTGCCAAGAAGCAGGGAAGAGCAGAGCCAAGTGCAAGTTGAGGTTTCCTGGCTCCTGGTGTCTCCACCCTGCACACGGGCCTCAACCCCCTCTGTGTCCCCTGAATCCCATTTGCCAGTGGCCCGGATGTCTCTCTGATGCGGTTTATCTTCCTGCAAGGTCCAAGTTTCTCCATCAAGAACTTCACTAGCTTCTCTGGAGGGGAAGAGTGACTTTTCCGAGCTGTTAATTC